TAATGAAACGACTGAATTAATGCCATTATGAAACATATTTGTTCAACGCACATTAACTCGTTCAAGTTCTTTAACAGCAGCAGATGGAAAATCTTGATTGAGTTCTTTATAAAGTGATTTTAATACTTGTAATTCTTTCATTAATAAATCTACTCGATCACTTAATGTACGATTTTCATTAGCTAATTGGCTCATTTTACCTTCGGTATCTTTTTGTCTTTCTTTTGCTTTCAATCGACTTTTTTTAACAGCATCATTATTTTTTAATCGTCGATCATGATATTCTTCTGAATATTTTATAACTTGTTTATTACCAAATCGTGCTAATTTACGTACGGGACCACCACTTTTTTTTAAACCACGTCGATTTATATCATCACGTTCATTATCGGATGTAGATTCAACCGACGATGTTCTTTCATCATATGTTGTTGAAGGATTGCTTCCTGGCGTTCCTAAATCTTGAATATATTCATTGCTTTGTTCCATAGGCATATCTGTAAGTTCTTTGAATGTCATATCAGAATTTGAAGAAAGTAATTGATCAAATGAATCAACAGGAAAATTATCTAGCCAATTATCGTCTAATGTAGAAGATAGTTGAGTATTATTGAGAAGATCTTCAAGGAATAAAGTATCTTCAACAGGTAAGTTAAATGAAGGTTCAAGTGTTGTATGACTGGATAATGACGACGGAAGAGTGTCGGAATTAGAGATAGTTGTAGATGACTTGTTTGAATTGTGTACCTGAAGAGAACATAAGAGTTTTAATTCAGACTTGATTTTCATAATGGCTGCATTATTTGCTGCCGTTGTTAATTTTTTATCAGCTGTTTGCTGTCTATTATTATCTTCCTTCTCAAACTCTTTTGTAGGTTCATAATTAGTTTTAATATAATCATGATCAGTCTTACCGAATCGAAAACTGTGGGTGATTTCATTGGACAATTTAGGGTATTCAACACTTCTTCGTTGAATAGACTTGTTGGTAAGCTTAATGTGGGACATGTTGCCTGATTTAAATCGTTAATAGAAGAAAAAGCCGTTGTAGAATTTTTTTCGTATTCTTGTTTATTAGACACAGTAAGTGTCGCTTCAAAAATACGATTTCGTGTTAAAATCTGAACCTGCACTGTCTTTGATGAAATAGAAATATACAAGAGACGACACTTTTGGTGGGAAAGCAAGAGTGTATGTGTGTGTTGATGAAAGGAGTAGTAATGTTGAAATTTTTTGTCTTTTATACTGCTCG